GGGGGGGTTCTCCCCAACGATGGACGGGCGTTTTCTTAAATCTTAAATTCTCGGGGAAAGGATGTCTAGAGAGAGGTGCCTGTGGACAAAGAAGAAGGGGAGGCCATCTCTTAGGATTTAGGTCCTGCTCGCAAGATCCCAAAAGATCAAGGAGCACAGACCAAAGAGCCCTGCTATTTCCAAATGGTGTGGGAACCACAGCTACCCAGAGGTCCTGCGAAGGACCAGCACTGTCAAATGCTCAGCCGTCCTACCGCACCCTCACCGCCCAGCAGAAGCATCTACTCAGGCTGCAATGGAATGTGAAAGCCAATCACTAGGTGTGGATGCCTCTGAGCTCCTGAATGCTGCTGCTCGGGGCAGACTAAGAACTCATTTGTCAACTTCATAGGTTCAGATTCTTAGGCTCCTAAGTCTCTAGGACTTAGGGACTGTCTTGTTTGTTTTCAGCTCCTTTCGTCAGATGAGCATCTATTGGATGTGGAAAAGTCGTCTGTGGCCAGTTCACGTGTCATATGGTGTACTCGTAAACATAACCTCTATCCAGGCAAGGCTCCTGGCTCAGCACCAGTCCAGGGTAAGCTGTGACTGTCCTAGCTAGGAGCGGCTTGAACTACCACCAAGGAAGTAGCTGAGCTAACGCGGAGTGCTACAGCATCGCAGAGCACCCCCCACCAGGCACCTGACCAGCACTGCAACTCAGGGAAGTCCATGGAGCCACTGTCATCTCCATCGTTCTGTAACACAACCGAGAGTCAGGGAGACTAAGTGACTTGCTAAAAATCAGACAGGACTCGGGCCCAATCCAATGAGGTTAACATGCCAGTGTTTACAGCATGTATGCATTCAAATGACCGATGCTGCAGATGGAGGAAAGAAAAAAACCAAAAACACAGAAGCCAGGCTCTGCCTCCCTCACTTCTGACACTGACAGTAAGAGAAACCTGGTTGTCATGAGTTGAATTATATCCCCTAACGTGTGTGTCAACTCCACTGCATCACCTGTGTTCTTAAAAGAGAGGAAACAAATGGGGGATCTGACTCCTCCCAAGAAAGAGGAGCCAGGCATGGAGAGCATCCTTTGGGCAGGAGGCCCCTGTGCTAAGAACCCCGTAGGCTCAGGCGAAGACTGCGGCCAAGACAAATGAAGACCTCCAAGGATTGCTGAGGCCACAGATGTTGGAAGAAGACAAGGATCACCCTCCCCCCC